TGCGTGCTGTATCATAAGGTCTGTCATTGAGTCAACTGGCGTGGGGTTTCGAATCTCCGGTAGTACGTGACAAGGAGTAGGGTCGCCTGTCCAACCTTCGTGGGTTTTCTCTGGGTCCTCCTGTTTCCTCCCACTGCTAAAGACCCCTACGCGCAACCGAATTACTGAAATAATATTGAACCATGTGTTAGTCCCGAAATGACCTAGTTTGTGTCGAGTGGACGTTAAACCCCATTTCACTCTCTCAGATCATTTAGAACTTTATACACCTAGCCGAACATTACGTACATCAGATAAACTACTTTTTAAAGCCCAAAACTGTCTCTTATGGTCAGCGCTCTTTTAGTTTTCAAGCACCGGTTTTATGGAATAATCTACCATTAAGTTCAAGATGTTGTACATCTCTATATTCTTTTAAAAACCAACTTACAACACATTTATTTAAGTAGGCTTTTAACTAACTCTGTATACATTTGTTAACATGTCCATAATCTTGTTGTTTATTTATGATTACATTGTCACTTTGTAAAGTGCCCCTGAACATGTTATACGAAAGGTCGCACTATAAATATGCTGTAATAATAATAATCATAATAATAATAATAATGTCTGGAAAAGGCTAGGCTACAATAATATTGGCAATAAGAACCGCAACTCTACCTAAACTGTAGATAATGAAATAGTGTCAACACTGATTAACGTTAATGTTAACGTCAAGTTATTGTGACGTCATAATAGTATATTGTCATTTGAGCCGGAATCCTCATTGAAACCGCACGTTCAAAAGACTTTAAACTTATTTATCTTCCAGTTTTTACTTTTAAAAGGTGAAACAAAGGTATGTATTACATGATTTTACAACTTTAACTATTTAAAAATATTTCTGATCAAAATTAAATCTAATTAAATCACTTATCAAGATAGAAAGGGTGAGTCTGGCCTTTCCACAAGATTCAGGCCTATCCATGTAATGTTTCATGAACTCTGAATTCGTTCTGTTTTTCTTTTATTAGATAGCTATTACACATGGATAACAACAACGATCTTCACACCTTCCTGAACAATTGGTTATGTAAGTATTATTCAAACATAGTCATTATTTCAAATAGAGCCAGGACTAGGGTTAGAATCTGTATTGCTACTGTTCATTCAGATTCAAATATACCAAAGATGGATCCTAGAAATTCTGATTATTGAACCACGAAGTTACTATAATGAAAACGCAAACGCGTAAGACTACTCGACACCACCCAACCCTCCAGCTGCAGATCGAATTAAAACGGGATTTCAAGTATCTTTGACTTAATGAATTCGCGTCTAGAACGTCGCTCGAACTTGAGTATTTTTACCACTTCTTGGCCATTTTCAAAAGCCTCAATATAAAATATGTTTAACAAAAACATTGTACAAGTATAAATGCTAGCCAATTTATTTTCATGCATGTCACGTTGTCTGTTTTTAAATTTTTCAGCCAATTTGACTTTTGATGAGAGAACGAGTTTATTAATTGGAGCTTGTCAAAAGCGAACAAGAATTAATTCTGGAATAGAAAATCAACGGTCTACAAATATAGTAGCTTTAGACAGATTAATAAAAAATTTGGGTTGTCCAAGAGATTTAAACGAAGTAGATAGAGAGAAAGAACATGTTAAATATCCATTAGAACCAGTAGTAATTGTTGTATCTACTGATGATTGTGTACCCTGTACTGATGATAGTGATGATGATGTAATATCTACTTATAATGAGCTAGTGTTTAATGATGATGATGATGATGATGATGATCTTCCAAAAAGTCTTCAAGACCCTATGAAAGGTATAGTTAACTAGTATATGACTATATCACTTTTGAGTGTTGGTACGGCCTCGGTAAATATCAGTTTGAGTGCCTATACGGCCTAGGTAAATATCCCTGTTGAGTGTTGGTAAATATCCCCTTTTAGTTTCGGTAAGGCCATGGTAAATATCACTTTGGTATTCAAAAGATTAAATATACATTTTCAATCCGAACATTTTTGATAGGTTTTGTGAATACTAAAGTTTCATATATATAGCAGAAAATATTTGTCCTTATAGATGAACTACTATATTATTGTATTCACAGATATCAATAATACTACTCCACGTGATGTACAGAAAGATATGGATGTTGTAACTACAGGTATGTTGTCTTATCAAGTCGCGGTAGCTCGGCGAGTAAGACGCTGACTCGCTAACTACGAGGTCCCGGGTTTGATCGTGGTGTTGGCGGAGAAAGGGTCAGTGCCAGTGTTGGTGGACTGGTTGCGCGACATATAACAATTATTAACAGAGCCTAGACGTCCGATTGAGACATTGGCGTTTACGTAAAATAAACCTTGCCAATTGGAATCCGAAATGCCCGGTGCAAAAAAGTAGGACGTAAAACCCCATCCCATTTTTATTTTATTATTTTACCTATTTATCTAGGTAACAGTAATTCTGATCGCTTTATTTTACATATTTGAGCTGTGGTGACGAAACAACATTCATTGACAATGTGGTATTTAATGTTTAAACATAATGCGATTTAGATCTTAAAAACTATGTCTGGTTCCAGACATGAAAATCTAAATGTTGTATTTATTTATAGTTTTAGATTTAACTCCTGCATCTCCCCCAAAATATAAAGAATCCAGATTAAGACGATGGAGAAGAAAAACAGCCATATATTTAAAGAAAATCTTTACATGCTGCGTTCAAACAGATGACAGTGTATAATTTAAAAATTCAACAACATTTAAACTCGAGGAAACCGAAGAACGAATATTAATATATAAACAATACGGCTTATTTGTTAATAATAAAAACCAAAAAATATTTTTTAATTGGAAATCTATTTTGTGATATCCTCCATGTGGTATTTTATATAAAGTTTTATAACGATTGAGAATTATAGATTAAGACAAAGCTACGTGAAAAATAGGGACGCAGAATAAAAAAAGAATACTTCAAAGAAAAATACTTAAAAAAGAAAAACTCCTTCATATAATAGGATATTTGTTATTCATTTAATAATTTTATACTATGGGATATACATTATTTAATGCTATATAAACTATTTTAGCATTTTTTCGAAATTAATTGTTGAAGATATAAACCCGATTTCTTTATTAAACCAAAGACAAAAAAAACACAAACTAGCTGTTATATATTTATTATACATCTGTTATATTTATTTATAAATTTTGTTATTATTATACATATTGCTCTTCATTACAATAGAAACAAAATGTTTTACCAATCAATGAATTTATGTCTTTTACACGTTTGTTTAAAAATGAAAGGGTTGGATACAATAGACTGGTATAAAATACCAGGGTTTTACTAAGTGACCCGCTAAATTTTTCACCTGAATTTGGTGAAAATATGCCTGCAAACTGACTGAATAGCTTACATTTTTTACTTACTTTAAGAGATAAAAGGTCTGCATTATTTAAACCACCAAAAGCAGGGCTTTGTTTTCGAATTAATATAGAAAAGAAGGCATATTAAGTGTGTGATTTATGCTGAGAAAATTCGAAATTTCGACAGGGGTCTTCCTCATGACCTATTGAAGGATTCAATTTCTGGGGATTTGAACAGAAAATCCGTCATGTGAAACGAGTGAACGTAAGGAATAGGCCTGCTGGTGAACCGTAGGCTGTAGTTGTCTCAGAATGTTTACTGTACTTGTAATGGTGACATTCCAAGGAACCCTGCGTTCAAAAAATCGCGAGTAGAAAGTATTTAGTCGAAAGTGAAAAGTTGACATTAGAAAGTAGAAATACTGTCATTGAAAGTAGAATTCTGACGATTTGGAGTTGCAAAAGTGAAATGAAATGGGATTTAACGTTCTGCTGTTCTGCTCCAACTGGGCTAATGAAACGGACATACATATAATGTGCTAAGAGGAAATCATGCCATTACAGCGGCGCAACGGCCTACGCTTATATCGAATTCCAACTGCCAAGGGGTCGTTTGCGTGCACGCCAATATGTACACGGGACCCCGGTTTTTCGTACCATCCGAACGACTAGACAGCTGTCCTTGTCAGGTCCTACGTCCCGCATCACTGGCAAGGGCAAACCACGCCAGAAAGATTTAGAGTTGCAAAGCGTAATGTTTCTCTCAGTCAAGTTATTGGTTTCTAGGTCGCGTTTTTAACCCATATATCTCTCTATTTTAAAAGGGGGCTTGGGGAATCATGTTATGTATGTATCTGCTATAACTTCTAGGAGTCAAAAGAACTTTTACGTTTAGTAGCCAAGAGGCATAACTCGGAGACTTACCACTGGAAATCGTGGTAGCTTAGAAGAAAAAAAAACCAACCGAGACCTTTATCATGCATGGAGTTGAAACCGTGACTTCAATTGCCTGTCTCTCTTGTTGAGGGAAGTTCACTACAGGCCCGGGGCTGTACAGCGCATGGGACGTTTACAGACTGGCTGGCCCCGGGATCCATTCCCTTGTTATATACTTTTTTTGTTTATTGCTTGAAATGTGTGTATTGTGTGTCTTCCCGTGATATGCAGGTTTGTTTCGTTTGGTGCGGCCTTCCTAAACTTACAATAAAAGATATTTTGGCAAAGGTGAGTAACTCCGTGATTGCTGTGTGATGAACTTATTTTTGAACGGTATTTTAAAATCAAATAAAAATTGCGTCCCCCAGGAGAATCCACAGACTAAAAGCGCGATTTTTCGTAAGTATGTAACCTGATAGTACTATGAGGGGCAATACTGCAGGAGGTTACGTGCCAAAATCAAGCCCACCCAATTGTGATCTCAATAGGGCCCACAAGCCAAAAACTCATTTGAGGGACAATCAGGGGCAACGTGTGCCAAAATCGAACCCTTCTGAAATCCTTGGGTTATAAACATATATTTTAAGTTTCATCAAAATTGTATACCAATTCTGGCCACTAGAGTGTCCACAAACAAATGTTAATGGGTGACCGGGGCATAAGACAGGTTGCATTAATTCCACTACACATTATACAAACTCTTGTTGATATACATTTATTTCTTTTCTTTCAATGACATCTAGAAGTACCGTTAACTAAATAACAAAACACAACACAAGCTATATCTGGATATAATTACTTCTCAGTTATTCAATAATGAAGTTTTGTTAAATATTCAACTTGAAACTTTGACCTGCATGGTTACAAAACATCCTTATTAAATAACCGAGAAGTAGTTATATCCAGATATACCTTTGTGGTATTTTGTTATACATTATTGTAAATTCTTTCTTGTCTTACCTGTTAACTCTATATTATCTTATCAGCTGACTTTACTAGAACACTTGGATCTAATAGTTACATCAAATATTTGTACATCTAATAAAAAATATTTTAGCCAAAATATTAAGAAACATGAAGAAATTAACCACAACAATAAAGTAATTTGTTCAGTTTGATCATTAACACATTGTAAGTCACAATATTCCAGTGCCAGCGTCCAGGCATAGATCACCAAATGCCTAGCAATTCTTTCATCTATGTTTGTAGAAGTACATGTATGAACAATCTAAATCACTAAATTCAGAACATATATGACAATAATGCATCAATCAATCGGAATTCCTCTTTAGATTCTGGTAGTGTAAGGTTTGTTTTATTTTATTCTGAACACATGCAAGCGAGAGGGTTAACCCCAGAAGGTACATGTAGAAGAGGTTATTTTCCCATAAAATTGAGGAGGGGATAATATTTATGTGATGAGACCAGCTCAAGGATGAATCTACTGATCGAGAACAGACAGATTAATCTACTGACTGGTGAGATGATTTTAAACTATTAAACTAGTCCTCAGTGAGTTCGATTTAATCTACTAATTAGTGAGTTGATTTTAAACAGTTAAACTAGTACTCCACAGTTCAGATTAATCTACGTACATGACAGCCAATAAGACAAGAGAATATGTGTATTTTATTTGGATGAGGACAAGGTAGGGATGACAATGTGTTGAATTTGAGGTAGGCCTAATGATTTCATACTTTTAAAGCATTGAATTGAAAACTAGGAGACACAGAGTTCCATTTATTTGGATGAGGACAAGGTAGGGATGACAATGTGTTGAATTTGAGGTAGGCCTAATGATTTCATACTTTTAAAGCATTGAATTGAAAACTAGGAGATACTGGTGAAGGCAAACATGTCTTCAGATTATTATTCTGGTTACAGTAAATGCCCTATCACATATTTTCTCAGTTATGTTGTCTTTGATGTAATATCAAGTCACCTTTCTGACAATACGCTTTACTACAAACATCACATTTATGAGTTTTTTGTCCAGTGTGAGTTGGGATGTGTCGTGTTAAATCACTACTACATGTAAATGCCTTGTTACAGTTATCACAGGGGTAGGGTCGTTCTCCAGTATGTCCTCGTGTGTGTTTTTTTAAACTAAATCGATAACTAAAACATTTTGAGCAAATTTCACATTTATATGGTTTTTCACCCGTATGAATTCTTGTGTGTGTGAGCAAGGTATCTGATGTTTTGAATGCAGCGTCACAATATTCACATTTGAAGGGTCTCTCCAGACTGTGGGTCTTTACATGATTTATTAAAGTAGATTTTGATTTATATGATTTGTCGCAAATATCGCACTTAAATGGACGAGTGCTGGAATGAAGAATCAGATGCTTCAATAAATTACCGTTTTCGTGAAATGCCTTGTCACACAGATGACATTTAAATTTTGGTTCCGAGTGAATTTTCTTGTGAGTGTTTAGAAAACTTCTTTTGCGGAAAGCTTTTCCACAAAATTCACATTTATAGATTTTATCTGTCTCATGTTCAACATTATTTTGTTGGACATCATCTAGATACCTCTCTTCATTTTCAGTTATAACAGTTTTTAATTCTTCTGTCGTGTTAAATCGATAACTATCTAATTCATCTATTACTACTTCCGGTTCGACTTCTGCTTTAATACTAGTGCAAATTTCTGTTTCTTCCTCAATAATGTTTTCAAGTTCAATTTTTTCATTCTGTATTTCAACATGAATTATACAATGTTCCTCCAGTTGATCGTGATTTGGGAATATCTCATCGCGAACAACACATTGATTATAAGTTTCTTTGCTTCCTTCCATTATTTCCTTCAATATCTTACTGTATTAATACAAAATAACTGGCTTAAATGTTTCTGAAAAATACTAAAATTTAAAACGGAATGAATTACAGACTAAGTAAAAGACAAATATAGACTTTCAATGCATATTATTGGTTAACAAGTTATTCAAATCAACAAATCAATCCATCATAAGTTTAGAAGTTATGGTCAATTGATTTTTAAGTTCCTATTACAATGTACATGCAATTGATATTAATTTCATGCCCTGACCTTTGCATGAAGCTCAAAATGCCATGTAAGGCTAACTAAATTGTAGCTGCAATATTGTAAGCTGTAGCGTCGAATTGGTCTTACTACAATTGGTACATGTACATTCATTGGTACAAGTTTCATATTATTAATTTTCAACACATACTGTCATAATAATTTGTAACGAAATGAATGATTTTATCACAAACAATAAAGTATGAAACAATAAGTGAATAAAATAGTTACAAACCTACAAAATGCAATCGAATTCACCCATACCAATATTTAAGAACAATTTTTTGTGAAAATGAAATAGTAGGCCTATACCATACCATAGTAAAAGTGTAAAGTTGTACCACTGTTTTACGGCAACCTCAAATAACGAAGTCAATAAAACACCCAACGTAAAACGAAAAATATTTAGAGAGAGACGCCATTTTCTTGATCTTGGATTATAAAAATTATTAGCATGGATCACCCTTACCCGAGTGACTCATAATTTTTTTCTGTATCAACCGTGTTAATGACAACGGGCTCCGCAATGCAACCGGTCGAGGGAAAAGTAGACTAAATGTAACTATGAGATACATCGCTAAGATTAATTGTAAAGTGGTACCACTGTTTTACCATCTTCCACCACACAAGTCTCACTATCTATCTAGCATTCAAATTATTAACTGGCATTCGATATTGTGACCTGCAAGGGAAGACAACTCTGCTTGGGAGATTGCTGTTTTACAGCAATCTCAAATAACGAAGTCATTAAAACCATAGGCCATAGACATAATAATGATATCATTATAATTAAAATGTCTATGAATAAAATAGCCAACGAAAAGTATTTAGGGGTGGGGGGGGCGATTTTTATTGATCTTATAGATTTATATAAATTAATATTATGGATCACCCGTACCCGAGTGAGCCATTTTACTGAAAAACGTTCTATTTTTCTATACCAACCTCGTTAATGACGACAGGCTCAGCAATGCAACCAGTCGCAAGGAAATTAGTATTAGACTACATGTAGCCATGAGATAATCTATCTCTCGCCAACATTTAGTAGATGTGTTGCTTGGGAGGTGTTTATTCAGATCTATTCCGACGAAAATGATCAGCCAAAATAGGAACCCACTAGAGCTTGGCGGAGGTGGTGTACGGTGTCGACATTTTTAGACATCTGTTTTTTCCTAAACTGAGTGGCATAATTCAACAAAATTTAATAAGATATTATTTATCAAAAAAGAAAATAGGATTCTCTGGTCACAGTCTGGTGGTACTTGAACTTTATACTATTAAACACGATCCTCAGTAGCACTGTAGCATCACTGTCCCAATAGCTAGTTTTTCACGCCTTAATCCACCTAAAACGTACCAGATTGATTTTTTTAACATTTAATTAACAAAACGGAATAAAAATATCAAAGTAAAATAATCTGCTTGCCCCGTATTCAAACAGATTTTTAAGAGGCCCATCAAAAGGTTTTAACCAAGATATAGGTGGAGCTGACTTATTTTGAATATGTCCTATTTGTATGGTCTGTAGTAGAGAATGTTAAATGCTGACAAATTTCCATTTTATCAAATCTTTGCAAATGCGCTGTATGATTTGCGGCAAATTTCGCATGTGGATGGACGAGTTCCTAAATGAATTATCAGATGCTTCAATGAATGAATGAAATGGAGTTTTATGGCACGTCAGCTCCAATCGGGCTATATTGCGCCAAACAGATGCTTCAAAAATCAGCATTCTCATGAAATGCTTTCTCACAGAGATGGCATTTAAAATTCGGTTACAAGTGGATTTATTTTGTTCGTGTTTAGAAAACTGCTTTTGTATAAAGTTTTTCCACAATATTCACATTTATATATTTTAACTGTCTTTGTCAACAGTTCTGTCATTTTCTTTGTTGGACATCATCTAGTTTCTTCTCTTGATCTTCATTTTGGAAAATTTACTAATTCATCCATCATGTTAGATTCCACATCAACCATTGCTTCATTCTTCTGTTTGACATTGGTTTCACCAATACCCCGAAGTTCTTTGGCGTTATTAATAATTTGTTTTTCTACGGGAATTATATCAAATGTTACCATACACCATCTACATCATTCATTTGATTCCTCAGCAGTTTCAAATTCTTTGTTTCCATCCTCTAATTTAACATGAAAGATTCCAGGCTTCATCAGTTGATCATAAGTCTGGAATATCTCATCATAAACAAAACCTTGATGAAAATTATATCTGCTTTCTTTCATTTTTTTTTCTTTTACAACAAAAATAATTGATCTTAATTCTGGAGAGAACCCCCCCCCCCCCCCCCAGGAAAGTTTAAACATTCAATAAAAGTTAAGTTTTTCAATATAATAAACTGCCCATTATTAAAGGATGATTATTCAAACTAATTGAGTAGTACGAAACAAATTATCACAGTTTTTCATTTAATACATGGATTTAAGTTAAATACATGTTTATCATTGTGTTTTGTTTTGTTTTTTGGATGTTGGGGGGGAGGTGGCGGGTGGCCGAATGGTTAGCGTGCGGTATCATACGGCCTGTCATTGAGTCAACTGGCGTGGTTTCGAATCCCCGGTTGTACGTGACAAGGAGTAGGGTCACCTGTCCAACCTCGTGGGTTTTTTCCGGGTCCTCCGGTTTCCTCCCACTGCTAAAGACCCCTACGCGCAAGCGAATTAATGAAATAAAATTAAACCATATGTTAGTCCCTAAATGACCTAGTTTGTGTCGAGTGGACGTTAAGCCCCATCTCTCTCTCTCTCTCTCTCTCTCTCTCTCTGGATGTTGCAAATAAATAGTCAATGTGAACTCAAAACTAAGCTGGAATGAATAAATGATTGTATTTTGAGATTTAATTCTATCTTTTTATAATTTCAAAGTGCGATTCAAGATAAGAGATACTATAGTTTCACCTGGCAAATTACGATGTTAATCAGATAGGACTTAAATAAGTAAAACTGTCAATTTTTTCTTTAAAACAGCAATAATTCATTATTGTTGTTTATTACATTCCTGCCACAAGCAACTACAATTAAGCGTATAATCCTACCTGACACGGGTACAAACCATCTCGTGAAATGAAATGAAACGTCCTACTATTCTGCTCCGACTGGGATAATGAAGAAGGGCATACACTATACTGTGTACTATGAGGGAAATCTTGCACTAACAGCGGCACTACGGCCTACTCTCTTTCGATTTCCAACTGCCAAGGAATTTTTTACGTGTACGCCAGTGTGTATACGAGACCTCGGATTTTCGTTCCACCCGAACGACTATACCATGGTCCCTTGCCAGATCCTCGGTCCTGCACCACTGAGAATGAAGAACTCGTCGGAAAATCTCGATGTACTTTCTTTGCCAACGCGAGGATCGAACACAAGATCTCCGGGTTAGCGAGCCAACGTCTTACTCACTGATCCACCGTAGCTCCCACAAACATTTACGAGTCGCGTAATGCACCGTCTTCATTAATGCCCATATAAATTTTGATGAAAACACCACTTGATTAAATTTACTGGCAATATTTGCAGATAAACGAAACTTGTTTCACTGTATTGGGTTTTCAGAATACTAAATAAATAATATATGCCTAGAGGACAGACGGACCGACGAACATGTGTGTTGTAATACAAACACATAAGATTGTCTCGCTGGTCTTGGATATAAAGTGGGAGAGAGAGAAATGGGGTTTAACGTCCACTCGACAAATACTAAGTCATTTCGGGACTAACACATGGTTCAATTATATTTCAACAATTTGCTTGCGCGTAAGGGTCTTTAGCAGTGGGAGGAAACCTGGAGGACAAGGAGAAAACCAAAAAAGTTGGACAGGCGACCCTAATCCTTGTCACGTACAACCGGGAAATCGAAACCACGCCAGTTGACTCAATACAGCGCGCACGTGCTAACCATTCGGCCACCTGACCCCCGTGGATATAAAGTAAAACACTATGAAAATTGATTTATTTAAGTCTTTCTTTTATTTTTGTCATACAACTTTGTTTATTTTATTTTCTAAAAAAATATATATATGTATATATTATGACTGGACGTATTGTTGACAATTATGTGATCAGATTTCTTCTTTTGGCAATGAATGCGTGGTCTCCAATTAGTGTTCTCCACAATCTGATTAAAACACTGATCCTATTTCTTTTCGATTTTTATAGTTCAAAATTTGGTTTTACTTGCCTTTACTGCACAAGGATCTGGAAGAGTTGTTATATAACCCGTATTCTGGATGATGTGAGGGGTTAGCCAATGAAACGGCCTGTTACGGTGAGTTTTTGGCGTGAGTTGCGCGGAACTGTGGGTAACCCACTAGAAACATCAAAGCTGATTGGTTAAAAAAAAATGTGCGACGTCATTAGATCAAAATTCACTCGTATCACCTCTATCGCGACCTCCCACTACAACTGGTTGTAAAAATATAGATCTGTATTTAAATCAGATTCGTTTTCTCCGTCGATTTGTAGAATTACTGCAGCACCCGGAATACGAATGGTTACGTAGTTCAATACATGTAATACTCTTTTGTATTTAATTGTCATTCTTATTTTTCTGTATCTTGAGTTCACTTGTAACTTTTACAAGAACACAATCGACATCCATTAGGATATAGGTAATCCTTGCATCCAACTCCGCAGGCCACAAAATCGGGACAAGCTGCAAACAAAATATGAAACATTTAGAGATCGGCTTTTGACAGGATCCAGTATGTTAAATTGTTTAGATTTTGCTATTATCGAAGGGCCTATGTCCGCTAGAAGCTCGATTTCTACTGAATTCATATATAAATCACAAAGTGAGAGTAAAATGGGCGGATTGCATAAGTCCCACGTTTAATACCACTAATGGTGTGAAACAAGGTGGAGTTCTCTCCCCGATATTATTCTGTATCTATATAGATGAGCTACTGACCAGACTAAAAAAGAGCAAGTTGGGTTGCCATATTGGACATGTATTTGTTGGTGCTCATATGCTGATGACATAACTCTAATTTCTTGCTCTGACGTCTATGCTTTTTATAGTAAATGAATTCTCTGTTGATTTTAATCCCCATAAAAGTAAACTTGTTATATTCAGCGCAAATAACAAAGATGTTAAAATCAAGAGTATACTGTTCAATGATCAACTTATACAAATATCACGTTTAGAATTATATTTAGACAACTTTATTCATGTTCTTAACAAAAATGATCAAATTAATGTATGTATAAGTAAGTTTTTTTTAACGTATAGTCGTTCATACGGGACGAAAAACTGAGGTCCCGTGTACACATTGGCAGGACATATTTCTCTCATAGCACACTGTATGGTGTACGCCCGTCTTTATTAGTCAAATCGGAGCAGAACAGTAGGATGTTAAACCACATTTCATTTCTTACGATCACGCCCCTGTATTGGAATTACCGCCATTTTACTGGTTGACAAGTTGAAATGCTCTTGTTTTTCAGTTATTACAGTCTTAATAACAAATTTCATGTCTATTAAATTATTTTGTGAGACCGAAAAACTATGCTTTTAGTTTTAAAAAAAAAAAAAAAAATTGAATGTTGAATGAGTGACCAAATTAGTCCCGATAGAACATATAATTAATTCTATTTAAATTTCTTTCGTACTCGAGTTATAACATTAATCAAAACATGGTTCATAATGTTATTTTATTTACTCACTTTTTATGATTCCCAATATACCACAATAACATCCATAACAGCCATTTTCATATACTTGATGTATGCAACCAAGTCCACAGGAGATTCCACATTCTGTAAGCATAAAGATATGGAAATTTATAACTTTTGAAATACAAGCATATCATTTATTTTTATTGTTAACATGTAGCATGTTTCTTGTTAATACACAGGGGGCAATATAAAGTAAATTTTTGCCACAACAGTGACTTGACATTACTTTAGTTTTGAGGTTTTAAGTTGTTGTCATAATTAACATAAAAGTTTAGTCTTTCCTGGACACACAATTCAAAGAAATTAGTATATTACCTTTAGTTTTGTATGCATATGCAATACCAATCATCAACAAAATTAAGATGGTAAACATTTCTATTTGTCGATACGCTACTGTTTTACCAGAAAAATATGAATTAATAGTTCCTGAAACTAAACATGCAGATATTTATTTGTGAGTGTCCGCGTGCTGATTAAAATGAAGAACATAATAGTTATATCCGAGAAATGATCACGCATGCGGATTAACAAAATTTTGAGCAATCTATAATATATAATTAAAAATGCTATGTCAATATTATCTGATTGTTACGATAATTGAAAAACATAATATTTAATATCCGAGATATGATCTATAATATATTAATTAAAAATGCGATGACAAAATTATTACCTGATTGGTAATTGTAGTCTAAAATGCCCAGCTTATAGGTGTTTTTTTTTAACAAACTCAAGTCCTCAACATAATTTACAGGTAAATTTTAGACAGACTCCTTTTATACTAAATGATGAACCTTGGTTGTCATCAGTTATTAATGATTGTTTACAACCTTCGGAGCATTCCCACGTGATACGGCTTTAATTAACATGACTGGGAGAAGTCATTTTGTCTTTCTTGTGGTGTGTTTACATATTTTTTGCCGGTGTATTTTTTATATATTTTAATGAATAAACGTTAGATAGTGATGTATATTAATGTATGTAGCAATGACAAATACACTGTAAAATAGTTCACGTAAAATGGAATAGGATCCTAATATCCAATATTTACGACACAATTAACATTTTATAATCAGTACGCGAGTCGTGTACCCTATGGTTTCGGGTGCCATTTTGTAATGAAAAAATAAAAACTTATCCTACAACACGGCGTGAAAGTTATTAGTAAAGGCTTATACACAAACGACAAAATAATAATTTAAAAACGTGTAGAATGTACCAAGCAGGTGTAAACGACTGCCATTCAATATGAACTGTTCACGTATTTCACCGAATATAATTGATTAGAAATTACAATATATTTTTTAAAAACTGAAAATAAATCACTTTACATACATTCATATTCCAAAAACAGAGCTATACGTCTTTAAAGGCTGTTTTATACGTGATTCTCAACGTGTGCGTGGACCTCGGTTTGTCGTACCATTCGCCCACATCGACGCACAGTGGCGTAGCCAGGTTTTTTGTGAGGGGAGGCTGCGATACCGACCATAGCTACGAGCAACATAAATGTGTGTGGGTGTGTGTGTCGGTGTGGGTGGGTGTGTGTGTATCTCCCCATTGCTTGGAGAAAATTCTTGTGAACGAGAGGATCAGAAATGGGACAGAGTCTAGATATAGCAACGCATAATATTTAATTGAGCTGCTTTTAATCTTTTGGGACTGGGCCTCTTTGGGAGGTGGTGGGGTGGGGGTGGGTGGGGTGTGTGTGTGTGTGGGGGGGGGGGGGTGCTGTCGCCATGGATTTTTGTGAGGGGAGGCTGCGATGCCGCACCATAGCCACACGCAACATAAATGTGCGTGTGTGTGTGTGGGGGGGGGGGGTGCTGTCGCCATGGATTTTTGTGAGGGGAGGCTGCGATGCCGCACCATAGCCACAAGCAACATAAATGTGTCGGTGTGTGTGTGGGGGGGGGGGGGGGTGTATCTCCTCATTGCTTGGAGCAAATTCTTGTGAAAGAGAGGATCAGAAATGGGGCAGAGTCTAGATATAGCGACGCATAATATTTAATTGAGCTGCTTTTAATCTTCTGGGACTGGGCCTCGTTGGTAGGTGGAGGGGGGGGGGGTGCTGTCGCCATGGAGACCCATCCCCCCATGCCCGCAACGCAAAACTGTCGGCGTATATTCTAATGTACGGTCCATCCCAAATAGCTCATCTAACGTCCCAACCAAAATGGCCGACGAAGGGCAATGGGGTGGAGATGGGGCTAAAACCCTTGTTGACTAAACCAGTGTCATATTTTCAACTATAGGCTACAATATTTAGAGTGTATAGAACGGGCTAGATTTACATTACACCTCTACCTTCCTCACCTGTAGTGAAACCGGTTACTCCACCCAATACAAGGCAACGTATGTACATATGCTGCTGTTTGACGTCCATATTTTAACATTAGAACGTAGTAAAGTAAAGTCACGACAATGATGAAGTTGACATAGTTTAAACGATAAAGGTATTAAAATAGGCGTAATTTTTACATACTGCGTAAATACACACTCTAAGATGACGGCGTGACCTCGCAATTTCTTTTTGACATGAAATAAAGAAACCAGTTATTTAAATTGTGAAAGACTGTTTATTAAATACATTAAATGAAAATGGCACGGGGTTGGCTAAATATAGTTCAAGCGATGAGAATTTATGTAATATAGCCTGTATCGCCTTCACAAAGCTTTCGGAAAAGGGGGGTAACTCTGTAATGAAAGGTAGCGGAATGCTGAAAATCAATAGGGTTTATCCTCTGGTGATTGAAAACAATCCGTTAAAAAGTAAGTGTGCGTGTATGTTGTTGTTGTTGAGTTTGGGGGGGGGGGGGTACACTGAATATCGATATGGTTTCTCCTCTCACGACCACAATGCTTGACTCCGTTAAAATCTATAGCCTCTATCTCGACCACAAAATTTTCAACCGAGGGGTGATAAATCTGAAACAGAAGATCGCAGAACGCTGAATATCGATAGGGTTCGTCTACTCGTGACCCCATTGCTTCAAATCAAATTTAAAAAGCAATCTGTTAAGGGGTTTTCGTTTGTAGTCTCTATCGCGTCCACGAGGTTTTCGGCAAAGTGGGGATTACTCTGGAAAGGAAAGTTATTATAGGACACCAAATATCAATAGGGTTTGTCTTCCCATGACTACGATGCTTCACACCAAATTTGAAAAGAATCCATCAACAACTCCATCGCGTTCACAAGCCAAAGGTGGAAGGACCAACGGGCAGTATAAAATGTCGGCTTATAAATATTGTGTCAAAGCGATACTTCTCCTTTATCATCGAGCCACAAAGACAAAAATGGTGGAAAAATGAATTGTAGATTACTGCAGGCTAAGCGTCAATTTAAAGATAAGTATGTTACATATAATATAAAACACAAATTTATATGGAAAACAATCACTGGGTTTATTTCACACTACGTTACAACAAGTTCCTCTTGTCGTTTTCAAGTAAGTAAGTATGTTACATGTAAATAAATTTGTTCTTTTTTAAAAAAATACAACAACAAAATCAAAATTCCTTTCAACTATGATTATTGTGTAATAAATAAAACAATAAAGCATTCAAAACATTAAAGAATGAATATATTATGCTAACCCGGGGCCAAATAGTTGCTTAAATTTTATGCAAGACAGCATTCAAAGTATTCTATTAATTGTTACATGTGCGGGCCACCGTGTGAAAACAAATCGTAACACTGTGGCAATGATAGCCAATGAGCTTTTAATTTTAAAATTTTCTCATGGCTATAAAATGAAATGAAATGGGGTTTAACGTCCTACTGTTCTGCTCCTAAACTGGGCTAATGAAGACGGGCATACGCCATACAGTGTGCTATGAGGGAAATTTTGCCCGGGCAGCGGCGCTACGGCCTACTCTTATATCGAATTCCAACAGCCAGGGGATCTTTTACGTGCATTCCAATATATACACGGGACCTTGGTTTTTCGTCTCATCCGAAGGACTAGACAGCTGTCCTTGTCAGATCCTCCGTCCCGCATCATTGACAAGGGGAAACCACGCCGGAAAATCTGGATGAACTTTCTCGGCTAATGCAGGGATCGAACACCCGACCTCCAGGCTAGCGAGCCAGCGTCTTACCCACTTAGCCACGTGATCCCCTCATGGCTATATATGGTCTGTAAAGTAGGTTATAGATCTATATCATCTTATAGATATGTTACCGGTGTTTAGCCTAAATGAAAATGAAAAAGATGAGGGTTAACGTCGTATTTTTCTGCTCCATTCGGGCTAAGGAAAATCTACATGCGCCTACTCCTCCCGGACAGAAGCGCTAAGGTCTAGGCCTACTCTTATTTTCGAATTCTAGCTATCAAAGGATCTTTTACGTGCCCGTCAATGTGTACACGGGTCTTCGGTTTTTCGTCCCATCCGAAAAACTAGACGTTTTTCATTGTCTGACTTTCGAGCCACCGCGGCTCCCAATGTTGAGGCTAGCATTTGCCATGCACGCCTCCTTGGCCTTTCGGGTCAAAGAATTGAAATTGGAAAGTTGAATTAAAAACGAAAGATATGGAAAATGAGAATGATTGTTTCATTAGAAATTTACCAATTAGAAAATACACTGATATGATAAGAAAAAGTCACTATAATTCTAAAAACAATATTGTGCACTGATAAGCCGGTTATGACGTCATGATACTAGTGCTGAATAACACATACTTCCATAATTTGGCTGAACAAAACCCACAGCTGTGATATTCGGTCAAAAATCAGATTTTTCACGAACTTGATAACTATCACAGAGATTCATTGGGCGTAATTGCCGTGTGGTATATGGGTGTGTAGTTCAGCTCTACACGTAGGTTTCATTACACTCGTCCTGTACGTTCAGGAACCGTCCTATTGAGTCCTTGTCGAAAATGTATCGCTTTCTAGTTAATTTTACTGGGCATGTCAGGGCTAGGACGGAAATTAATAATTTACGCGACCGACCTTGTCAGTAGAAGGGGACGGTACTCATATTTACAGATCTTCGGAAAACGATCAATGAAGTAAAATTAACTGAGCTAATGAAGACGGGCATACGCCATACAGTGTGCTATGAGTGAAATTTTGCCCGGAAAGCGGCGCCACAGCAGTCTACTGATATAACAGTAAACATTTTGCACAAAATTCGATATATGGTCGAAGGAGAATAACCGAATTGAACACTATTTGACAGTAAATTTACAATTTGTTCTAAATATACTATTTCAAATGGCATTTCTGTTAATATACAGCTCACATAATGTAAACTGACACATGATTGTATTTTTACATTACGTTTGATATAATCTTACATGTGGCCAAAGAGGGAATTACCGATGTGGCCACTATTTGAAAGATAATTTACAATTTGCTGTAAAAATAATAATTCAAATTGCAATTCTCTTAATATATAGCTCACATAATGTAAACTGACATATGGATGTATTTCTACATTAAGTGTGATGTAATCTTACATAATCTTTGTATTCACATGCATTTACATCGTTTTAAATGTAAATTAACAAACTATGTGATATTACAAATCGGACACTGTATTTTAACTGTAAATATGCATATAATTTTAACAGTTTAATAGGCATCTTTTACGTGCACACCAACGTATACACGGGACCTCAGTGTTTCGTCCCATCTGAACGACTAGACATCTATCCTTGTCCGGATCTCCGTCCTGCATCACTGACAAGTGGGGACCACGTCGGAAAATCTGGATGATCCCTGTACTTGCTTAATCAGACCAATATAAATTCGGTTTCATTACCCTTAATTTATAACATTTATTTTAATTGGATGTGATTAAAATAACCCTATAGTGTTATACCCCCTCATAAGTGGACTATAGTATAGACGAAAAGTAATGAAGCCTTACAAGGTCTGTCAATGTTAAAGTTCTAAAGAGATGTACAATTACACGTTTTCTGTAATTGTACACAAATCACGTATTTGAATAGTAGAATTACCCATAAAAACAGTTAAAGTACAACATACATGTACTTTTAACCAACATAGTTGTATCAATACAGATTAAATGTAATAAAAATATAGTTCTAACTTTAAACTACACTTTTATTGTTAATTTACCAATTGTTTTTACAGTAATCCCATGTTACCTCACTAATACAGTAAATTTATAGTATAAAAACATGCAGTGGTATTTTTACAGCGTTATGTGAATGAAATTACATATTTTTTACTGTAATTTTACATTTATTATTAACAGTGTAATGTATCTTATTTTGGACAATAATAAAATTTGTGTAACATACGTTACTATTTTACCTTATCTCAAACAGTAAATAGAGAATCTGTAAATTTTCAGTATTTATATAACTGTTGAATTATTTTGATAGAAATATAATTAATGTACAATATTTTAAAGAAATATGTATGTTTGAAAACCTTAATTTAGACGGTCACACTGCATTTGAAATAAGTATAGGATATAAAATTCTTTCCACTTACATTGAGAAAGATAAAATGTTTTCGCTGCAAAAATGATTCTTAATACAGGATTACTGGGTGTCCAAACTTTCAGCAGATAATCTACCTTTCAAAAAACAAGGTTCTTATCACTGAATAATGTCAACACTTATGCCCAATATAATTTATAAGCATGGTAACGTACGTTTCTCTAGTACAAAAAGATGAAATACTGGCCTTACGAAATCCAACGTGAAAAAAATATCTTAAAAGTTAACTTGAAACCCTTTTTGACGGACAATCTGGACACATTGAACTATGATTTGAATGCATAATTAGTGGCTAATGAGAAGTTTAATTTTTAAATATTTCCATTTTCCAAAATGTACCCTTTTATTGAGAATAGTATAGTATTATTTTCCAATAGAAATTTCAGCAGAAATCTGTTGAAAAAATAAAAGCAACTGTACAATGTTTTGGGCCGTTATTTCCTACAGGCCCCCAAATTCTGTAGGATACTATACAATTTCATCCTACAGAAAATGCCCCCCCCCCCCCCATCTCTAGACTGTTCTGTAGAATTCTATATTAATAAAACTACATTGGTATAGACGATATTTGTCGTTTTAGAGTGAATAACATATTTTATTTCATCGAGAAGCAAGAAAACTTATATTTTCACGAATGTTCTATTTATTTTATGATTTTACAATCATTTTATGTAAAAACAACTAGCCGGTGGAATAACACTTTTATTTCACTGATAAAACGCGGTATTCCACTACTGATCATAAAATAAAAAGGATTATTTGCTAAGGGTAGTATACTTTGACTGACAGTGACATATCCGACTAAAATTAATACCATCGTTAAATCGATAAGATCATACTTATAAGGGAGCCCAACACCTTCGTTCGTTAAAAATAACTGCAATTTAATGTCTCCGTTAAAAGCGATATGTAATAAGAAGTAATTGTATTCCATAGAATTGTGACCTGTTTATTTAACTCCGTGTTCATGAGTCGCTATAGCAAGTTAACGATCACGAAGCTTCGAACAACCGTATCCTGTGTAGGGTGACCCACCATAAATAAATATCTCCATATATCTCGACAATTACGCCACAATATTTATATATATGCCAAGCCTCAAATCAGTTTCACACAATTATAGTCACTAAATAAAAGATCATGTTGTACTTAATAAGCTATGACCATTAATCACGTATAAATAATAGACTGAAAACTGGTTCCAAGAGTCGTCCATAACATCCAGACACTTTTGAGTAAAAGATAGGTTACGTGCCCTTGTTTTGAAATTAGTCTCGCTTAACCAGTCTATCGACCATTCTACGTCTGATTGACAGGTCGGGATAATCAAGACTACTTTTTTTACGAAACATAACAGAAAGCTAGAACAAGAAATTGAATTTAGAAATAAGCACGTTAGGTAGCCCAACAACCGTTTTAAGAAGCTTGTAAAATTAAAATGAAACTACTGCTAGTATCATGTTCCTGTCTAACCCGAGTGATTCAGAGATATTATTTGTACTAAACCAAAAGATGCCGCTCTTAACGGTACAGTTAATGATAAAGCGATTTAAAAAATGAAACGAACGTAATTTCTAAATCTGCTGTAATAACCAAGAAGCTTAATTTTACTGCTATTCAAAATCGTCAACAATAAATATTTTACGGCTGTAATAGTTGATAGATTTGTAGAGAATTGCACGCGCCATGGCTATTTATAGTATCATACTGTCAGAAAGTTGGTCTCGGCACGGCGAATGTGCACGCTTCAGTGGTAGTCTCGAACTATCAGCGGTGGACTGTATTTCTGTGAGTACATGGGTCACCCTATCTGTGGCTACCACTCGATGAGCATGCTTTTATTTTTAGAAGTCATGTGATGCTGAATAACACAGACATGCGCAGATATAGTCGGAAATAGGAAACGCAAATTAAAGTTGAGGTTTGTTATTGTTTGTCACAAGGAATTTATATTGATTTACTTTCTTATTTCGAAGTTAATTTATGACATTTGGTTCCTTTTTGACGGAAGTAAATAATATCTGGTAGGAAAGACGAGTAACTAATGAAATTGACACAGTCTATATACCCCAGGGTGACTTACATTACAATACGAACGTGTCATCAAAATGATTGCTCAACCACACTGAACCAGGCAGTGTCAGTGTCAACCTGCATTCTGTCATTATGATCAAAATACGAAATGGCGACTGCAGATAGTCATACTGGTCATTGTTTTTCTATTTTCTGATAAGTTTAATATCATAATATAAAGAGAAGGTATATAATATATTGTTATTCAGGGACTAATTCGAACGATTGATGAATTGAATTGATTTTTTGAGCATGGTTCATTTGGTTGAAGATTATGATTATGTAGTTGTAATCTGTTTGAAAAGGAATACAGAGATTTGAAGGGTGAGAGGGGTACTGCCTCTACATCCCACTTAGTACACCTATCAGGAAAATATCTTCTTGTGGAGATAATAAACACAGATTCATATTTTATTGAACTGTCTGACAGAGAGACATTCTTTTAATAGTTTTAAGTTGAACAGGTTTTTTTTATAATCTGTGTGTCATTTATATATTTGTAGCAGTGTGTGGATAAAAATTTGCAGTAGTCAATATATATATTGTATATCTACATGTAGATTACCGTACACTTGTTTTTATCTGGATGATAGTAATAATTGATCATAATTTAAATTAATATATCATTACCTCAACTGTTAAGTTTGTCCATGTTCTTTACAGTTACCACATTCCTGTGCAAACAGATAGATTGAGTATGCACCGACCTCTTCTGTATGGAAATTTACTGTTTGTTAAATGTTCAAAATCTTAAAAATATGATGATCAGTCATATTAAGTATTTTGAAATATAAATTTACCGGTACGGTAATACCCTGGTACCACCTGCATGGACAATAAATAAATGATTTCATCATTTCCATTTCATTTGTAATACCTAGAACTTGTCTTGTCACCATAGGTGTACGGGGAAATTTTTGACTGGGGGGCGGTGGTGGTTGGTGCCCAAAAAATGTAGTTAGGTTCTTAGTATGTTACATAATAATAATAAATTCGCTGTTAAATTGGACACATTCAAGAACACAATATCTTTTTTTATACAACTTTTACAAAATACAATTGTGTGCCCAAATTTTCCCAGCATTTGGTGCCCAAAATGGGGGGCGCCCCCATTATGTAAGGGCTAAATCTGCCTATTGCAGGTCTTTCTTTAGGCAGTAATGTTATCTAAATTATTAATTAGACATTAATTAACTTATCAAGACCATAATCAGTTCTTGATGCTGTTGTTAGTCTGCAATATTTAGTGAATTTGAAATTTGAATATGTTTTTTAATGGATGATTTAACGTAAAAATGGATAATCAAGACTTTGTTTATTATCATACCAAAGGTAGTAATGACGATCAAGGTTAGCCTAAAATTAAATCGCTAATATTATTGCGGTTCAGAGAGAAGCAATTTGACTGAAATTTCCAGCATATTCAGTTTTCACTATTACCTAATGCCCCTTTAAGGTCAGAATAATAATTAATATAGGCATTTAAATTAGTTAAAGTTAAACAAATTGACATTATTTGACTAAAGGGGCTGTATGAAATAATTTTTCAGATGTGTTTTTTTTTTTCTGGGAAAATGAATTTTTGGTTGTATTCAAGCAAATTGAAATCATTACAATAGTTTAAGTCAGTGCAATAGAACATTTTTGTTTCAAATGATGAGCCGAGGCGGCTCCCGACCAAAACTGTCCTGATATTCACCGATACACCGAGGAAAGGTGCTAATAAGTTACTTACATCACATTTCTATCGAGTATTGTGAAGCAAAATGTGAAAAATAGTATTTATTATCGAGTCATTTCAACCGAAAAGTTCTTTCATTATTTATCCCTTTCTGAGCCTCACGTTACATTTCATGGTAGAATGATTTCGCAGTGGAGAGACGACCTGAGTAGTATTCACACGTGCGTCTTGCTATGATACTCTGAGCGTAAAACAATCGCGTGTAGTGTATAGGAAATGCGAAACGTGGGTCATTCCTGGTGAAAGTATGCATCGGCGGATGGTTCTTCCGTTGAAATTTATTTGTAATAAAGTTTATGACTTTCTAGGCGTTTTTTTTTTCATCCTGCTTATTTTCAATGCCTGTGAAGTGTCCAGCAAGAGAACTTCGCCTTCTATCATCACAATTAATTATAATAATTATTCAATATTCTAATTTATATATTTTGCATATTAATATAAATCAAACCAAATTATGATATAGATGCCAATTGGTATGTATAATAATTGATTTTTGTAGTATGTTGTTATGTTAATTTAATGTCATTGTATATGTTTTTGAACTGCCATGTAGTTCCCCCCATTTTGTTTTGTTACTATGATTTTGACTAGTTGTTTCATGTACATTGGTTAGAGCCTCGTTATCAATTGCGATCTGGGTCGGACTAAACCTCCGCTACTTATTGCTTGATAGATATCTAAAACGGTATAAAAGTATCCGTGTATCAGAAATGATCAGTACTCTTTCTGTGTATCAGAAATGATCAGTACTCTTTCTGTACATTTCTGATACACGGATACTTTTAAGCATGTATTGCAATTAAACAGGACAGTTTTATCAAAGGTTGCCAGTGGCAACGAGTAGAAGTGGGATGTAAGGTTAAATAGATATATTTTTATTGATTTTATATTTTCAGATCAAATAAAACAATAGATTGTACAATTAAGACATGGCAACAGGACAAGATATAGCAAAAGCTGGTTGGCTTTATAGAGAAAGTAAGTATTGGTACCCAGTTCTATTGTTTTTAAAGGCACATACAAAACATTGTACCAATTATGTTAAATCTTGCCAATAAATTGACAACAGAGATGTTAGAGGTAGGACTAGAAGGTATGATATCCTACTAGCTCTAGAAAATTAGACATTATCAAAAATGAAATTATTTACAAAGGTTCATATAATGTATTCTGTTATGTGTGTAATTCAACAGGCTCTGTACTGAAGAGATGGAAAAAGAATTGGGTTGTTCTAGACCGAAATGGAGATTTGAGATATTTTGAAAGTCCTGATCACCATACAGCTGAGGAGAGGATTGTTGTAAGAGCTCAAGTATTGAAAATTAGAACAGGATTTGAGGTATTAAGTATATTAAATTATTATTATTATTGTTAAACAGAAAATGAATGCAGTTACTAGTATGATGACAAGCCCATAATCAACTCTTTAGACCATCAGCTGGCTGAGATATTGAATGGATGAGACTACGTGTATCCGCACCATATAATCAGTTTAAATTAAAATGAAAGTCACTTAAAACACAAAAAAAGTATTGACAGTTAAGATTTTGTTTATTATCATGCCAATAGTACTTGATACTTGGCTTGTTCTTGTCAAATGTTAAAATGAATGTCACTCAAAAGGACTTTCTTTCTTATCATGGCAATTTTTCTATTTCTGGTCAAAACTTCAAACACTCATAACTTTCAGAATACAGTAATTTGACTGAAATTTCATTATATTCATTTTTCATTGTGACCAGCTCTTTATCTAAATCTTACAAAATGCATCTTTAACATTGAAGAATCTAATAGCCTACCCGCGTTACCATTATTAAAATAAATTGCCCTTTATGATCTGGTTTTGAAATTGAAATAAGAGTAGGCTCATATACCCCAGTCAGAGCATGTTTTACATAAATTATATTATACTATTATTCTGTGCAACTTACGACAAAGAAATGACAAAGAAATGTCACGTGTTGACTGTGTTTGTAATATTATCTGTATTCTATTGTTTAAATTCTATTGTTAAAACGTTTGTTGGCAATTTTTCAAAATGCATTATAAGCTATACTTCATTGTGTATGTGACTTAAACATACATTATGCAAGAGCTAAATCTGATTATTGCAAGTCTTTATTTAGGCTTCAGATGTCATAGAAATTATAAATTAGATCTTTATTTACACAACAAGCACAAATTTTTAAATGGCGTCGTAAGCCGAGATTAACCGTTAGGTTGACGTCATACCCCCAAAAATTTTAGATCGAGGCTAAATTATAGAGTGTACGAAGCGAGGCCACTGTTGAGCGATGTCGCATGTCAGTCAATTTGATTGAAAGTTCGATATATATGGCCTTGGGGATCACATGGCTAAGTGGGTAAGACGCTGGCTCACTAGCCTGGAGGTCGGGTGTTCGATCCCTGCATTGGCCGAGAAAGTTCATCCAGATTTTCCTGCGTGGTTTCCCCTTGTCAGTGATGCAGGAGGGAGGGCCTGGCAAGGACAACTGTCTAGTCGATCGGATGGGACAAAAAACCGAGGTCCCGTGTACATATTGGCGTACACGTAAAAGATCCCTTGGCAGTTGGAATTCGATATAAGAGTAGGCTGTAGCGCTGCTGCCCGGGCAAAATTTACCTCATAGCACACTGTATGGCGTATGCCCGTCTTCATTAGCCCAGTTTAGGAGCAGAACAGTAGGACGTTAAACCCCATTCCATTTCATTTCATTTATACGGCCTTGATATTATGTTTAGTTGTGGTTAAAATGAGAGTTTGGATGTCGGTATTATACGTTCTTTTATCACAGCTAACATCACCCCAGTTGAATTGCAGCCCCATTGGATCACTGTTTCCTATTTGTCTGCTTCGGGAGTTATGTAGCCTACCAGTTACAGTACAAGAGTACACGCAGGCTAACAAGAAGTCGGCTATAATTATGCCTCATTGATTTGGTCCATTCCTTTCAAACTTTCGCTTCTTATCTATATATTTAAAGTCTTATTTTTAATTTGTAGTAGAAATAAATGTGAGCGAATTGAATTGCAACCCTGTCTCAAACTGAATAGGGTAACGGTACCACAGCCATTGAAAACGTTACTTGATAATCGAGATTATGTAGGTGGAGTTAACGCCTGTCAATCAAACGATCGGCCATTCTCGGAGATGGTGAAGAGAGAGTTGACTCCTATTTCTAGTCAAAAATTATATTGTTCAGAATATAGTAAATTGACTGAAATTTTCAATATATTCTTCTTTCATCATCTATTTTTGAACTGTAATAGCAAGAATACCCAACTCTCTATTAAAATCTCCCATAATGTTTTTTTTATAAAATATTAAAATAAAAGATTAAAATGTTAAATTGCACTACTTCTTCAATAAAGGGATCCAATTTGGATCAGTGTATAAGGTGTATGTTCAATACAGGTTAAGAATTGGAAACTTTCTTGTCTACTATGGCCCTCCCAATGATCATATATTATTGAAGTCTATAAATATGTTATTTTTGTTAAACATTTTGCTAGATTTCAGTCTGTGTAAGTAACTTAATCTTAAAAGGGATTCTTTGACCACTGAGTTCCTTCCAAATAATTGCTGCATGATTAGGACAGAAATACCGATTATGGTCTGAAAACTAATAAGTAATAAGTATATGATTCTGTATCTTTTTTTCAGTGTGGTGCTCTGTCACCACCAGATAGAATGGGCAAGTCTTCTCTTTTTGTCTTGGATATGAACAATGGTGAATCAATTGCTTTTTGTGCCGAGACTCCAGATGATATGAGGTAATATAATTATAGTACTGAGGCACAGTGCCAAGACATAATGCCGCTGAAATGTGATTTTTGGCACAAGTGTAGGCTGGACATTTACTGATACAAGAAAATCAACGACAACCCACTGAGGTCAAAACAATATTCTTTTCAGTGAAATGTAAAAATCAAAAGCCAGTAACATGTGTGTTCACCTGTAACAACCACACACTCTATGCATCGTCGGTACATGGAGGAGATAAGTCTGTAAAAGGTCCCTTGTGGAATCTGTCGCCACTCTCATTGCAATGCTTTCAGTGGCACTGGTGGTACTCATGCCCTCTTGAATTATCACAATGGCACGTTATTGGTGTTCACTGTTGAGTGGTCAGCATTGGCACATCATTGCATTTTCCACAGTTGTACTGACCCCAGATATTTAATTATGGTGTCCTCTCATTGCAACTCTGTATTTTTTTTGTCCCTACTCTTTCGAAGAGAGCAGGGTACTAATAAAAGGGGACATCTGTCTGTCTGTTACACAATAACTGTGCATCTACATGTAATTGTGGTAAAATGTTCAAACTAATTGGTGTAGATGTTCATTAGGTGAATGTCTTGTCTGAGTTCGATGATGAGCATTTTCTACTTAGGCTGAACAGATAGGATTGATCAATACTATGGTACACCATAAAAACGAACCAAAATAAAGATATCATTTTCATGATGTCACTACCAACATAAAATGAAACGATGTGTGAAAGATGTATCAGGTATTTCTCTTAGTATGAAATCACCTACCTACAGTATAGTTAAAGTTATACTTTGAAATGGTTTGGATTTACATGCACAATTAATTAATCCTAGATGGATTTTTCTTTAATAATAAGGTATATATATTTATCTGTATTTTACAGTGCTTGGAAGATCGCTTTAGAAGATGCTCGGACACAGATGATGGCTCCACGTGCCACAAATATTTCCTACCAAACGGTTGTTAATCCTTTGGCAACAACAACTGTGATTGGTGGACCAGGTTATTATCATTCTGGTTATTCTGGTTATCCAGGTCGTGTTCTATCAGCACCAGCTGTGACAGTTGTACCACAAACACAAGGTCAGTATATTCAATAACAGTAGTAGGTATTTACCATGAATACAAATTCATGTATACAGACTACTAATGATTAGGAAAATAATGTTTCATCTATGATGATCTTGGGTCCATATTCAAACTCAGACGTGGTCTAATCTATGTCATAAAGGGCCATTATAACGTAAGCAAGAAAATAAGTAATTAATTATTTATAATATGTCAGGGGGTCATTAAAATATATCATATTCAAACCAATTATACACTCCATTAATTACCGAAAATCCAATGATCTCCAAAACATTAATATATCCCTTAATTGATCATGATTTATTCAGTAAGAGCTTATTAGCAATTTTCGAGAAATATAAGTGTTATAATAAATACATACCTTTATCAAACTGAAGTTGATGCAGTTGTAGATTACCAAGTAATCAAATGATATGTTGCTTTTGCATTGTTTGTAATTATTACATAAATTGTAAATATTTATAGTGTATCAAGCAGGAGGCCCAATGGGTGCAACTACCGTTATCAATGCTCCTCCACCACAACAAGTGGTCTATATGGATTCTTCACCATGTTATTATCGAAGACGAGGTCTATGGGGACCATACCTCTGGTAGACACGTTGCAAATATGGGCTTAAATCGCCTAGGAAGAGTTGGTTTTACATTATGTTTGATTTTGAAAATTTTATATATTTTTTCTTTTAAATTGTATTTTTCATTAAAGTGCTTTCTTGAATTTTTATACGGCCACATAGAAGTGTGGACGTATATTGCCGTCGCCCCAGTCCGTCCATCGTCCATAATTTCTTGTTAACGCTCTAACGCCAAAATTTATCATCCAGTTTTTTTAAAATTGATATATGTTTGCATTAGTGAGATGAAGAAGCCTATTTAATTTCAATAATTTCCGTTTATTATGTCTAGAGTTATGGCCCTTGTTTCACTTTGTTGAACCTTGTGAACGCTCTAATGCCAAAAGTTAACATCTTATCTTTGTGAAATTTATATGCATGATTTAAATTAGTGAAACGAAGAAGCCTATTTAAGTTCAATAATTTCTGTTCATTACGTCTAGAGTTATGGCCCTTGTTTCACTATATTGAACATTGTGAACGCTCTAACGCCATAAGTTATCATCCGATCTTTCTGAAATTTATATGCATTATTTAAATTAGTGAAACGAAGAAGCTTATCGAATTTCAGCAATTTCTGTTTATTACGTCTCCAGTTATGGCCCTTGGTTCACTTTATTGAACCTTGTGAACAATCTGACATCAAAAGTTATATGCCAATCTGTATGAAATTTGCATACGTCATTTAAATTAGTAAAGAGAAGAATCCTATTGAATTTTAGCAATTTCCATTTATTACTTCTAAGAGTTATGGGCAAGTTATGGCCTTTATTTCACTTTGTTCAACCTTGTTAATGCTCGATTGATGAAAGTTATCCTCCAATATGTATGAAATTTATATGCATCGTTTAAATTTGTGAAACAGAGGTCTATTGAATTTCAGCAATTTCTGTCAATAATTTCTAGAGTTATGGCGGTTGTGAACCTTGTGACGAAAGTGATCATCTAATCTGTATAAAATTTATATGCATTATTTAAATTAGTAAAACGAAAAAGCCTGTCAAATTTCAACAATTTCTGTAGATTACTTCCAGAGTTGAGACCCTTGTTTCAGTTTGTAGAACCTTGTGAACCCTCAAACGGCAAAAATTATAATCTGATCTGTATGGAACTGTCTTGTAAAGGCCCCCAATTACCTACAAAATAATAAATATGCGACAACACTTGTCGGACGATTTAGCTCCTGTGGGCGTATGTTTTGTTGCCTGGCAACCTATCTTTTTTTTATTGAATGTTAATAAATGAAACTTGCAATTCAAATCAAATTTATGACCAAGCATTTATTCCATGATTAGTCCTTGTTGTATTATAAGTCGTTAGTTTTAATTTCACTGACCACAAATTTATCCACATTAATAGCGTTTATTACTACTTAGTTTTATTCATAATAAATCATAATTAAATAATGACTGTGATATGCACCTATAGATGTATTTAAATATTGATGCTTATGATGATTGTTTAGTTAACATGAAAAAATTTGTTTATTGTAATTGTTTATGATATACACTTCAAAAATGTGATATAGAAAGCACTATAGTTATTATATTGAATTATTGCCTGGAGGCACTTTGTAAAATGGAAAATCTCTTTTAAAAATAACATAAACCTAAGACTAAATATTATGCCTGCAGAGTCGGTGTTAATCCATATACAGTAAGGGAGATAATCAACTTCAGGATCAAGTAATTTGTCTCAAACCTTTTTATTCTCAGTTTTGTAGGATTATGTCATTTTTGAATAAGATTTCCTATTTACAATTTCATGTACCTGTGTTTATACACTGAGACCGAGAATTTCAATAAACAATCCTAAATTCTGTTTACACAAACAGTTAATATCAATGAAAATCTACTGAGTGTAAAGGGGTGGATTTGGAGAGGTCTCAGAATATTGCATTTGGCAGCTGGAGGTTCCTCCCAGTCCCTCGCCCTCGGGATAAGAGAAAGAGGAAGGACATAATCAATACAGAAATCAATACTTGGATCGAGTTATCGGTCTGAGATGGTATTATTCTGGAATAGAGTGCCATGCAATTTACTGGAGCGTTACTTAAAGACAACAGTTTGTCATGTGTAAGACGGTGTCAAAAGTATTATACAAATTTGCCAAATGCCCAACGAGATTCTGTGAGCATAGCTTTCAGTCTTCCAAGTATAGGTAAGTCCAGCACTCGGGAAGATGTCTTCCGTCTTAACGACAGTCCAACACACAGTCGGTTATATCACAACACTGGCGTTATCATAAAAGTAGAAATTCAATCAAGTACACATTGACCCAAATAAAAGAGGTCCTGTCCATGTAATATTAATTCGATTTAAGTATGTGCGTGTAAAGGTACTATTATACACTCGCTCTAACTTCCGTAAAACCTATTTTCAGGCAGGTTTTCAATTAATATAGCAGTCGGATGTGTTTAAAGTAGCCAATTTTCTAATTCAATATTATCCAAAATCTGCGACATTGGAAACACAAATTATTTATCAATTTAAATCAACATTGATGTTGTGATCTTACCGGGAAAAGGCGGGCTTCTGATATCCAATATTTAAGACAAAATAAACATTATGCCATTGGTACACGAATCGTGTAACATAATGCGATTCAGCGCCATTTCTTATTAGGGACACGAAAATCGAAGCTAGGCATATTCCACGAGTCATGTCAAACGGTGACTTCATATTATTATCTGGAGAGCATGCGCAATAAATGCTCTTGGTGTAGACTGGAATAACCAGACGCTAGAGATTGCCATTCGTCTGAGACTTCTGGCGTATTTCGCCGAACATAACGGATTATAAATTACGCCCCATCCTAAAAAATAAAAAGAATCTTCTGTTGAAAATTTGAGGACAATAAAATGTATTTATTAATTTCACATCTACAAACTAATAAAAAAAAACCATAGCAACGATTTTAAAACGCAGAATAAAACGATCACCATGTAAAAGAGAATGTTTCTTTCTTCGCTGTAGAAAACAAGATGGCTGAAATTGAATACGTTTAAATTAACATCATGGTAACCAGGGCAAAAGTGCTATTTACGCCGGGTAACTAAGCTAGTATCACATATATCTGACATTTACAAACACCCAAAACAAAAACACAGTCACATCGAAACAAGATTGCTGTACAGTATCTGACTTCAGTCTTAATACGTGGTGGCTGAAGATAACAGGCTTCTCAATTTCGACCAAATCCCGAACATTTTTCTTCTTTTTTTATACTTTTTAAACTATTATTAAAAAAAGATTTTTATCTTATCGTGTGATTTTTGTTCGATATAAAATTAAGGTGTAGTTCTTGCTAAGTCTTATAGACACTCACAACGTCTTTCGTCTTTACCAAGTAAGTTTCATTGCTTCCTTATTTTTGTTAAAATTTTGTCAGGTAGGGTTTTACGAAACACTACATTATAACAGTCATACTGGCATGTGCCATTTGCAATCTGGCCACAATAAGACGCAAGATACACGTATTTTGGTGTGGACGTATTATGTCATCACCCTTGTCCGTCGCCCATGATGTCCATTCAATTTTTCTGTACGAAAATCACCTACATAGATTGCGGATTATCGGTCCGTAAATCTTTCTCTAAAATTGTCCATTCCCTTTACCCAAAGAGAGTCAAAGCATGTAATACGTATACCAAGTCGGTGAAGCCTCTGAGAATCTACACTTATTAGATGAAACTTCAAATATAGGCTAAGGATCAAAAGATTATGAATGAGTTCGATTATGGCCATTTCCTTTTACGCAAATGTAAAATATGTTTGAAGTTTTTGTACCCTCTACGGGTCACATTATTTATCCGGTTCAGAGAAAGATTAACATATGTTAAGGGTCGAAAGATCTGCCTTTTACACAAAATGTGTAATAACGTTTATGGGCTTCTTCAAAGATCAAAAGATCTTAGATGAGTTCGAGGTTTGTAACTTTCTTGGGTATGGACCCGGCCTGGTGTGAACCATTGAGAACGTATGAAGATGTGCCCTATTAATTTCAAGCATCGTCTGTCAAGATGATGAGTAGAATATTATACAGTTAAATTGAATGTGTAGCATTTCCACCCATCAAAATCCGTCATCAAAATCTTGGCTTTAAATTTATACACAATGTTTAAGTTCATGTGATGAAGGATCCTAGGCATTTTCAACGATTTCCAATAATTACTGCCAGAGTTATGGCCCTTGACCACTTTAAAAAATCTTGTGGACATATAAATTGTTCGAGGTCATGAGGAAAACAATCGAAACAAATTTTAATGATATCTGATAATTACTTAATGGGTTATTACTTGTAATAAGTTTTTCATGTGTTGTAAACGTTCTCCTTACTGACAAAAGAAAACATATGATGCCACAACCCTTGTTGATTGCACGGACGACTTAGCCGCTGTGAGTGTATGTTTTGTTGTCTGGCAACCTATCTTTGTGAAATTTAATGTGACTGGAGTAGAAATGTTTCTGGTAAGAACCGGTTTTTTTTTATTTTCAGCATGAAAGTGATTATTGTATTCACCGTATTGTTAGTTGCCGGTGCCAATGCTGGATTTTTCACAGATATTTCTAAGACCTTAACTAACATCGGGAAACAATTTACTGATACTTTGGAGAAGGTTGGTGAAGGTGTTAAGACCACTAATGCGGCCTTTATTCCTTATGCCCAGAATGTAAGTAAAGAACTCCTAAAAGATGCTGCTCAATCTGGTATTAACGTAGTGTCCAACACTGTTATTGGTAAGTATGATGATTTTACTTATAAATGGCACTTAAAATAAACAATAACGTATTTTCTTTATAATAACACCGTCTTCATTAGCCCATTCCATTTCATTTCATGTTTAATAACAAGATGGGTCGCATGTCCATCGTAGTCGGTTTTCTCCAGTTTCTTCCTACTACTATTGCTAAAGAACTTTCCTGTAAGTGAATGATTGAAATAAAATAGAGCCAAATGTCTCGAAATAGTCAAGTTTGTGTGTAGTTGATGTTAATCCCCATTTTGACGAACAGTTGATTTTCTCCAATTCGTCGCGTACTACCCAAATCCAGATGTCACTGTGGTCACTGTCTTTTGATGATACTCGTCTCCTCTCTGTCCACTCAATCCAATCGCATATTGTTCTCTTTTCTAGATTTGTTGGGAACTGCTTTCAAGAATATGTTCAACATTGGACGAGATACAGGGTAATTTAGTAGCATTTTAATTCAAAATAAAGTGGATATATAATCCAAACACTGCACGTGGTTTTGTGAAAGATGTATGTAATTACAATTGATAACGGTGCATGATGTAAATCATGATTAATATCTGTATCTCATTTATTCCAGCATTAAGGACAAATTAGTTAATTTTGAACATGAAATGAAGGATATGCTCCTGAAGGGCGTTGAACAGTTTACTCCTGTCATGACAGGTGCTTTCCAGGAAATGGAAAAGTTGGGCCAAAAAGTGAAGTCGCTACAATTTGATCTACCACAATTGGAGAAAGATATTGAAAGTGTTATATGTATGTAGTTTTCATCTTAAATACCACTACTCTTCAAGTTCTCCATAAAGTCACCGGTACTATTTTATGTACGGCTTTATTGTCGCTCCTGCCCCCCCCCCCCCCTGTTCTTGTAAACCGCCTCGAGGTCAGACTTTGTTAGATGTTCTTTCTAAACTTGCTGGTATTGATCTGCTAGTGAATCTGTCTATTTGTATCGAGTTATTTCATTTTTTACCCAGACCCTTAAACGTTGTACATACAGGTTTGTGCATCAATTTTACAAGAAATTTTTGGTCTCTTAACCGTGACGGAGTTGTCTGTGAACAGTTTCCTGTTTCAATCGTCACTTCATAAAGCTAATCACATTTGTCGTTAGTGTACATGTAACGTTGAGAACTTTTATTATAACGTAGATTATTTTTATGATTTTCCCCAAATATCCAGACAAATTAATACTGCCCCCGCGTCCACCGGTATCACCCAGAGAACCAGCTTATCACCAACTTACTTAGTGTATGTTTTGTTTTCTTGTGACCCATGCATTGACGGAATACACAAGCCTCGTATATTAAGTTTGAGTTTGATTTATAAAAATTAAGATGGCATCTTACATCAGTTCTACGATAAAAAAAAAACCTCTATGATTTCAGTGGGACATCAACATCAAGGAAATGCATTCTTGTTGGATCTGATCTCCAGCATTGAAACTCTCATCAATAATAATTTTGGAGTACAATCCAAAAGATCTACCTTTATTGATACCTTGAAATCTCTAACTGACTTGATTACTGGTTTCTTTAAACCAGCTATCCAGAACGTCCATAACGTAAGTATTGGCACTTACTTGAGAATTATTCCGATATCAGCCATCCCCAGTTTGTGAAAACATGTCCAAATTTGAATATCCATCTAACTGCATTAATTGTGTTGCATAGCAACACAAAAACCCCAACAACAATAAAGCTACACCTAAAAAAAATGACAGTTCTGATAAGTTATAAATATAATAGAACGATATAGATTACGTAATCAAATGGAAATCAGTTGAATTTTCCATTAGATTTGTTACTGAAATGTTGGCTATGCCAATTTTTGAATTTAGAGTTTTATACATACGTCCGGTGTCATAATGCATACTTCAAGTGACCATTGATACCTGTTATATAATTTTATCTCTATCTTTTAATTTAAAATATAGTTGCTGGGTTCAGCTGGCCAAGCTTTGAAGAACGTTGCTGGTAATGTTGTCTCGTCCGTCCATCAATCCGTCAGTGAGCTCGGTGAAAAACTGGCTCCCCATATTGCTAACCTAAAAAACCAGGCTGCTGAACTTCTTCAACATGGAAACACCGCCCTTTCTGCCATTAAAGATGCTACCACTGATATTCTCGGTAAGATATTCAATATGATAATGTGGTTTATCTATAGCTGCATACTTAAATACTCGGGGACACAATTCTGTTAGTACAGTTACTGTTTATTACTGAGCGTTTCGACTTGATTTAGTCTTAATCAAGCAAATAAAAGATAAACAGTATATCTATCACATACATGTATAATTGTGTATGTCTTGTATATTCATGAACTGTTGAAGACGTTAAGACTTTAACAGATGGACTTGGGATTTTACTGTGGATTGATAAGCTGCCCCTTATCCAAATAACTGTTGTCTTTCTGGAAACTTGATGCTACTGTCAATTTACAATTTGAGGGGATAATATTATATATTATAATATTGATCATCTGGTTACCCTTTAAACCGCCGAGTGGCTAAATTTATTGAGTTTTTGAAAATATGGATTGCATTACGTTTATCGTCTTAATAAATACTATTTCTAATTTGTATCCTACTTTTTCAGGCCAGACCGTAGCTAATGTTGGACAAACAATTGCCGGATTAAAAAATACTGTGTAAAGTCAATAAATAACGGTTTTGTAAAAACGAACTAACTCTTGTTATACTTTTTTTTTTAAGAAAAATGAATGATACGAATAGCGTAATCAATCAATAAATAAAATAAAAAAAAAACCTAGCATTTTACCCTCAATGTACAAGCTACGTTATTTCAATAGTAGTAGATTAATAGTGAACTGTTTGACAACTGTTGTGAGGATGTTAATTATTGAAGTGAAGATGTACTGCAGTCTGTTTGCATTTATTTGAATCGCCCTGAAAAAAAAATGCGTATTTGTTCAAAATATGTTCACTCCTCATTTCATCAAATTCCTGAAGAAAATCTGTTTAATTTTATGCAAACAACTTAGAGATCTAATACTGTAAGACAAAATGATTATGTACAAATTAAATGATCGCAGTTCGGAGCAAGGGCCATGACCGAGACTCACCAGTCAAGTTGATAAAATACAGATATACAACAGAAACGTGGAATAGAATGTGGTTTAATGTCTCGTCCATACATTACGGTCGTCCTTTTGGGACAACATATGATAATTTTTACTTTTATAGTTTCGTGTGCAACGTTGTCCGCACAGTTGCGTTTCCGCCTACTCTCTTTCGATTTCCAACTTTCAAGGGTCCGTTAAACCCCATTTCATTTCATTTCATTAATACTATGCAAATACTTATGACTATTGCATGATCATTGTGACATTGTACGCCATCTGTTCTTTTGTTTGTTCTTTTGGTGCTGAGGAAATCTGTTAAGTATAGTGGAACACAAATACTGGGTAGGTATAAACTGCTATTACACTTTTTAAATAAATTATCAATACTACGTGTATTACTGTCGATACCATGGTTGGACTAGGTATCTTAGAACTCGAGTGTAGAAGCACTTCGTTGCCTGTTTTCATATGGAACCGAGAATTCATTTATCAAGTTGCTTCACTGTTGCGGTTTATACTTTGGTTTGGTGTTGTATTTCTCATTTAATTAAATTGTTTTTGTCTATTTAGCTTTTTTTAGAAATGTTTTTTTGTCTATTTATTATGCATTCCTACCATTTTACTAGCCAGAAATCTGTCAAAGTAAAAAAACAGAGCCAAACTATGTACCGCGACAACGAATAGTAATAGGAACCATATATTTCCAGGATTGTTCTATTTCTGGAACCTTCTTTTTACAGGATACCATGGCATCATTATTCCATGGAATTGTGGCATTGAAATACCACATACAGAAACAAATAATAAACACACATCCAACCATAAAAAATACACACGTGTCAAGACAGTGATTAACACATAAAATTTAGTTTGGTCCCAATTCGTGATAGTTGAAGATAACAAAAACCTTTCTTCGTCAGACTTTTTACTTCCCATAGAACCTCACCTTTGTTGCCAAAATATATTAAAATATACAATTTTATCTTATCACGTGATTTGTTTCTGATATAAAGTTAAGGGACATTTCTTGGTTAATCTTACAGATACTTATAATAGAAACTTTCGTCTCTGTCCACGTGAGTTTTATTTTATTTCCCTTTGATTTTGCATTATGTATTATAATTATTTTTATATCTGTATACGATTGAACGTGATGTAAACCATCGGTGCGAATATATGTCATCCTTCAGCAGGCAAATGATGCCGTTATCCAGCTTCGTTGGTTTCATCAGACATAAACCTCTTAGATCCACACAATTTATGAAGTCTTGTGATGATGCTGATGATTGGTAACTGAAACATAGGCCGTCAGACTTTTCGCCAACACTACAATCAGTAGTTGTCGCTACAAGTGCCTCTGATTATAGAAAGAAGAAGAGACTCGTCCCATAGAATAAATATCTCAGATATTAAGAAATATGTTATACAGAATTATTAGTGGACAACAGTTGAAGCTTAGACATTTTAAAGCCATGATAAACTCACTTTTTTCAGCATGAGATTCTTGGTACTTACCGTTTTGTTAGTTGCTTGCGCCAATGCTGGTTTTTTGACTGATATTAAATCAGCTCTGAATAACTTTGGCGATAAAGTGAAGACTACCTTTGAGAAGATTGGTACTGGTGTTAAGGAAACCAACCAAGCCTTTGTTCCTTATGCTGAAAACGTCGGTAAAGAACTCTTGAAAGATGCTGCCCAGTCTGGTATTAGCGTAGTGTCTAACACTGTCACTGGTACGTATATACTGCAATAGCAATTAACAGAAAAGGGCAATACGAATCTGGAATATAAGTGGGCTATTAACGCAGAGAGAATATTAAGTCACTTCAAAACCTTTCACCAAAATCCTTTCTTTGCTATACAGTGTGTCATGGCCAATTCCTCTTGAAGTTATTTTACCTGCGGTCAGTCTGTTAGCAACTCTCTTGTGGCGATTACATGTATATGATTCTACTTTCCATCTTCTTGGCACATTAACAAAATGCTGTGGTGCCCAAACTTTGGTTGCAACAGCAAGTTTTCCTCCACTTTACATTTGTCCGTATTAATCTTAATCCTGGAAAACGGATTTACTGTTTTATCTCAGGTATTTTATTTCTTAAAACGAAGTGGAACACAAACGCAGTTCTAGATAATAAATGCTTGCTGCATGATCTGTAGTTGTAAAACCAGGGGAAAATTAAAAATATAAAATGCCATTTAATTTGTCTATAGCTATACATAATGGTGATTGTTATTCGCCTCATCTACCTCATGTATTTTGAAAATATATTATGTACTCGAATAATTTCTTTAAATCGTCGTCCTTTTGTTCCAGATTTGTTGTCAGGTGCTATCAAGAGTCTTTTTTCCCATATTGGACGAGATACCAGGTAAATATGTAAAGAAATTATAGTGTCTTCGAAATGGCAATATTTTCTATTAGGCAAACATATTACAAATTAGAATTTTAGTTTTAGAGTTTCGCAATTTCACCGTGTCCTTTTAAGGACCAGACATATATTTTCGATTGTGTAATATACTGCAAATAATGATTAATATCTGTATCTCATTTATTCCAGCATTAAGGACAAATTAGTTAATTTCGAACACGAAATGAAGAATATGCTCCTGAAGGGCGTTGAGGAGTATACACCTGTCATTACTAGTGCTTTCCAGGAAATGGAAAAATTGGCCCACAAAGTGAAAATGATCGACTTCGATCTCCCACAACTGGAGCACGATATTGAAAGCATCATTTGTAAGTAGTATCCAATATGAATCGAACCAATGCAACAACAATTTCTTTAATGATTTCAGGATTTCTATCGTAAATTATTACATTGAAAAGATTAATCACAAATTTTCGTTGACTTAAATGTATGCATTTTTAAATACAACTAGGTTAAACTTCTGCTAACCGATTATAGGGATTATGAATGTGATAATTTATATTTCTGGGTCTCTATATGCGGAATGAATTTAATCATATTGGTAAAAACAACGTCTCTGACTAAAATAATTTTAAAAATCAAGAAGGGGGTTTCTGTCTACATTTTATTAAGATATTTATGATTTCAGTAGGACATCAACATCAAGGAAACACATTCTTGTTGGATCTGATCTCCAGCATTGAAACTCTCATCAATAATAATTTTGGAGCACAAACCAAGAGATCTACCTTTGGTGATACCTTGAAATCTCTAACTGACTTGATTACTGGTTTCTTTAAACCAGCTATCCAGAACGTCCATAACGTAAGTATTGGGATTTACTTGAGGATAGTGTATTTGTTTGAGAGTGTAGGTCGTGGACATGTTTTGAGACTGCATTTCTTCATGAACCTCGGGCGCGAGAACAAATACGGGTTTCGGCATATAGACTACCTCATGATGCGGCTGGTGTATACATGGGTTGGTTGATAGAATTCAACCTCGTCACAATTTCTTTTATTACTGGAGCTTTTGCCCCACTGCTTACTATATTGCAACATGCACAGCTTTAGGGACTGGACTACCACTGGGGGCCATTTAATAGCCACACATATAGGGGTTTGTTTTTAGTATGTTATTTTTATACATTGGCTAGCTAATTATTCGGTGACCTTTTTATTATCACACTATGCACAAAATGTATATTTATCTTCACCATTTAGTTGCTGGGTTCTGCTGGCCAAGCTTTGAAGAATGTTGCTGGTAATGTTGTCTCAACTGTCCAACAATCCGTGAGTCAGCTCGGTGAAACATTGGCTCCCCATATTGCTAACCTAAAAAACCAGGCTACTGAACTTCTTCAACATGGAAACACCGCTCTTTCTGCCATTAAAGATGCTACCACTGATATTCTCGGTAAGTCTTCAAATATTTGATTGACATAACGAGTACTAACCCATAAACTTCAGGAGGTATTTAACAAATTTATTCCAGGTGGAAGCGAGCGTCAAGTCCAGTGGACACTGTCACAAGTACCGTAAATTCTTGTCCACCCGTAGCAAAGCAAGTTAATCACTATTAAGAGGGACAGTATTTTTTGTTGTTATCCTACATATTAACCCCATTTCTGACGATTTAAATTATATTGTAAAATGAACCCATTGAAAGAGCATACTTATATCTACATAAGTAGGACACCCGCGTAAGTGCATAACTATATGACTGACATAACGGCAAAATCAATTGATTATTGAGATTTATTAATCATTCAGATTCTAACTTTACTTTTCAGGTCAAACTGTAGCTAATGTTGGAAGCACCATCTCTGGCTTAACAGACAAATTGGAAGGCCAATAAATATTTTTTTAAAAAATAAAACATCAATTATTTTTGTTAAGATTTGTTTATCGTCACAACAATATCGCGTTTTTTTCATATCAAATTAATTGATTGGCCAAGATGTTTATTATGATTGTAATAAATGCCATTAACAACGGTTCTTTCAAACATCAGTGAGATCAGATACTTTCCCTTAATAAGTTCACCAAATGAACATTCCTACTAACCCATCCATCGGTTTCAGATGGGAATCTTTATTTGAATAGAAAGGTATAAGTAACACAAGTCAAGTTGAATGACCTTTAATTTCGTTGAATAGATCTCCCCAGGGACGAAGAGCGTTAAAGGAAAACATAAATCCTAGATTCAAGATCCACAGGATTCATTGTAAAGAGTTCCGTCGAATACGGAGCCCAAATGTTTAAGAAAAATATATGTGACACATTACCTCCCTTTGTTATACCTTTGATATAACTTTTTCTAGATTCTATGTATTCCAGCTCAGTTAATTTAACAAACTCACATCTGTATTATTGAGAGGGGTCAGAAAATTATCCAGGGAATATTAATACTCATTTGATAGGATTATCTAATAAATATTTGAATAATGGCGATATATTTATGATGTTCTTAGTTTATGCTCTGCAGACTTTGTCACATTCTACTCTGTATTCTAATGAAGATCATCATTAACAGAACATTATCCACCATTTATAAGAAATCCTCTGCCATACACTCGTCCTCAGTGCTGACAGTGTTTGATAGAAGGGAATATCATACCTCTGTTTATTTCCTCCCTAGTTAGACCTGGTTAGATAAAGTACCATGAAAATCTCAAATCTAAAATGACGAAGCGACCGCCACGGCAGATACATCTACTTAAACGTTTCACAGTAAAAACATCTACTTTATTATAATTAGAGGATATTGAATATATAAGAATCCATTCCGGCTGATCCTAAAGGATCATCGGAATCACAGTACATAAAGATAAACGATAGAGAGAGAGAGAGAGAGGGTGGGGGGTAACGTCCACTCGACACAAACTAGGTCATTTCGGGACTAACATATGACTCTATTTATATTTCAATAATGCGCTTAGCAGTGGGAAAAACGGAGGACCCGGAGAAAACTCACGGGGTTGGACAGGCTATCCTACTCCTTGTCACGTAGAACCGGGGAATCGAAACCACGCCAGTTAACTCAATGGCAGACCTTATGATGCAACGCGCACGCGCTAACCGTTCGGCCATCCAATCCCCCATAAAGATAAACAGACCAGACGCTACATCGCAGTATCGTCACAAAATGTGTACATACGGCTATGCAGGAAGACATAACATTCTGTCATTTTGATACCATTCTTTTCTTTTTTATAAACAATATTTTTATTCTGCGGATATCTGAATTTGGATCGATGTGCAACTAACTATTTAAGCAAATGTACAAGCTATAAAAATATATACAGTATATATACATACATACATAATTACATAAATATAGACATCATTCCAGAATAAAATAATATAAAGACTGGTCGATTTAAATAAATTATGGTCCAATCAATCAATATCTGAAGTTATAAACATGTTACATCGGCATCTTTATGCCTCTCCGAATTACATGAGAACATCTGAATTAAGATTACATTAAATTTGTATCCTCTATCATTTCACCGATAACACAATCTAAATAGCATTTTGCGACCTGTACATAATGGGGACATAATGCACATGCAAAGACACGTGCACACCACTCTGTTCGGTAAATCTTGAATCTGATTACCAATGTTCATCAACCAATCAGATTGCTTATCTCTGCTTACCGTAAGTAGACAATGTTCATCATCGAACTTCATCGAGGCATTCACCTAATAAACACCTACACCAAGTTTGAACATTCTAGCTCAATTAGAATGAGAGTTAGTGTGTTCCAAAGTCTCGACCAATCAAATTGCTTATCGCTCTGCTTACCCTGAGCAGAAAATGCTCATTATCAAACTTACTCAAGGTATTGATGTAATGAAACTATCCTCCAAGTTTCATTACTCTCACTTAATTAGAACTAAAGTTATCGTGTCCCAAAGCATCAACCGATCAAATTGCTTATCTCTGCTTACCCAAAGCAGAAAATACTCATCTTCGAACTCCATCAAGGTACTGACCTAATAAACACCTACACCAAGCCTTAACATTGTAGCTCTATTAGAAAGAGAGTTATTGTGTCCCAAAAAGTGTGACGAACAGACAGACAGACAGGCGGAGGCAAAAAGAACAGGAACAGAAACAAAAACAAACACAAATACACATCTGTTTAATCTTGCAAAGAAACAAATACGCACTCTACCTCCCAAGACCACCACACATGAATAGATATATATATATATACACACAACACATCAACCACTACGACATTTATGTATATAATAGAATTTGGAGAATTTATATTCGACTGATAATTAAAAAGTATATTCGGATAAGAAGGTCAAAAACTAATAATTAAGAGAATTTATATTCGGTTGATAATTAAACGGTAGATTCATTTAAATGGTTTACGTATCCCATTAATTGGGTAAGGTTATCTAACAGTTGATCTCCTATTTTCATCCAGTAATGTAAATATTTTTCAATATAAGCATTTTTTATTTTATTGTTACCGTGATTCATCGCGATTTTTAGCTTTTGAAGTGATAGAAAAGAACTACAATAACGCGAGAAATATTTTCTACGGAGATATATATATATAAGTTGGACAGAACAGTTGAAAGTGAAATTCATCTTCAACAGCTCTCATATTACAACATTGGCATAATCTTTTATATCTTTCGATTTTATTATATCGACCAGTTTCAATTTAGTTGAAGAATACCGTAACGCAAGTAACTGATAATAGTTTTATATTTTACTGGAGGTAAGATTTTGGTTCATGAATAGTTTTATATAATTTAATTGAGTCTTCTAGTTTTAGCGAACCATTTCTGATAAAATTGATATTTTCTACGAAGTTCTATTTCTGATAATATTGATACATCAAAAGCATTTTGTTAATCCCTTGTTGATCCCGAATATAAGAAAAACGCACATAATTTAAGATTAAATTTTATTTCAGCTGCCCAGTTTAGAGAACTATATAGTGATTGTATGAAGTTGAAGATCGCATATGACCAAATAAGAAAGTAAGCATAATCCTGGATTGGAAGTCACCACTATAAGTGAACGTTGTGAATGTGTAGAAGGACCCCGATAGGGTGCTTAAGAGCGATCATGGTATGCTAGCTAACATTTCAGCTTAGAATACAGAAACCCGATCCATCGTATTTTCTTCGACACCTAGTCTGTGTATTCAGTCTTGTTTACCGTAGACAGTAGAATAAGACACGGGTGTCTAATATCCCCGTTAATCTTAGATTAGCATACTCATCAGCACATAATGTTCAAGATGTTGGCCAGATCTTGACAAACAGAAATATCCTGCATGTTCACCTATCTGGGAAGTATTACGCTAAGGATGTCATCAAAGAACGCATTTAAAGCTTAGACTCGCACAACATATGGACGTATTGACCATTTTATCAATACTGTTTAGATTTTTTTTCCATATAGGTAACAATGTCAAGCTAGTCTCTAGGATTATACCAGCTTGTTCACCTTCCCGTTAACATTTCTAATGCCTACTAAATACTTTCACTCTATATCATTATGTTACAGTTTCTAGATTTGAACTTGAAATTTGCTCAAATAGTCCCAACCGTGTGTTTTGCAGTTTAAAAGACATTGTTTTGGAACTGAAATATAGATGGATGACTGTTTTTTTTTTAAATATTTACATAATATAGCCTAATGACCTAGAAATTTACATAAGGAGTGATCACTGTCAAACCTAACCTTACTTTATCTATATTTACAATAGCGTGAGCATCATGGTGACGCCATCTGAGAATCTCCCAAGCTTTTTTGCTAAAAATGGGTCGAATCATTGTAGGTCAGATAACCAAATATAAGACAGATGATCAATGATCAGATATCTTTTATAAGTTCAACATATAGAAGGTAGGTCTAGTTCTATTAGGTTCGGTATTTTTTTTTTTTTTTTTTTTTCTCGGTATTTTTGTTTTTATTTTTGCAATAGATAATAAAACGCCTAATATACTTTGGATAAAAAATGCAACTACGTGCACTCATATTTAGTTTAAACAATTAATTTGCTTAAAACAATAGCAAATGGATCAGACTCAGTTTAAACAAACTTAAAAAGTATTCTATTATTATGATACATTTTATGTAAATTAGCACGCGAACAATAGTATATTGGAATAAAGTATGGAAATATTTATCATCAATGGGACAATGTTAGATATTGCGTTTGACCCTTGAAAACGAATTTAAGCCAATTAAACAACAACAAACCTTCGTGTTTGCTAATAGCCCGCAGAATAGTTTGCAGACTTTCTTCAGTGTACCAATATAATATTGTAATTATATTCCAGCGGACTACATAGAACGTTTGGGGATTGAATTCCGGCGCGGACCGAGAAGCATCTCGATGTCTTTCGGGCCCGTTTCCCACATTTCGCGGGTAGCACCCAAGGGCCTGGCAAGTAAAGCGTTGTCATGCTTTCTCGTGTACATTAACGATGTCATTTTATCATAGTATCCAAAAAAAAAATCAACACCATAATCTGAAGAACAAAGTTAAATTATAGGCACAGTTAGCAAATGTTAATGAATTTGACAAGTATAATATATTTTTTTTAAAATAAAAATTCATTTTCTTGCTTTTCAGCAAAATGAAATTTCTGTTGCTTTTGACTATCGCCCTGGTTGCCTCAGGCACCAACGCTAATTTTCTTAGCGGACTGCAATCAGTCTTCCAAAAAGTTGGCGATGCCTTTTCGGTAGTTGGTAAAAGTCTTTTGGGACAATTGGATAATGTCGGTGGAACTTTATTCGATAAAGTAAAAGATGCGGGGAAGAATCTTCTTTCACAGGGCTTACAAGGTAAATTTAAAATCTATAAGTTTCTATTTCAGAGAAATATATTGGGTACTTATGG